CTTAAAAAGTCAAGGTCTAGCTGAAACGTTGTAATCTGCAAATAAACTCACGGATTTGTAAGCAAGACAGCGTGCAGGACTATTTTGATTAAGCGTAGGGTAAAAACAAATCACAAAATATATGATTACCTCCTTTCCGTCCCTGCTTCTTGCAATTAAACAGCAGCACTTCCTGTCCCACAGCATACGTGAAACCTTTATACTTTTTCAGTTTCCGTTTACCATATGCTATGCCCTGCTTCTGTTGGGCCTGCGTTATGTTGCCCGCCGCATTCATTGAGCACTCTTCTCTACACAGCTCATCCAGGTTTATATAGGACTCCACATCATCCTCCCCAGGAAGCACAATGGAAAGCTGAAAAGATATTTCACATAAGTAATGTGGTCACAAATACAGGTTGCCTTGATCAAGCTTACTGGTATATCCGCGGGAACCTCTGCTGGAAACACAGCCTCCCTGCCATACATCAACCGAAAGGGGCTGTATTTTGTGGAGCAGTGGGGCTTGGACCTCAGTGAAAATAAAGTTGCCTCCAAGTAAATATCCCAGTTGTTTTGGCGCTCATTTACCACCTTCATCAGAGCTCTGTAACAGAAGGTTACATTCACAATATTGAAAGTTAAAGAGAGAAATATATAATTTAAAATCCTTTAAGAATTAAGTTTGATGGTTGAGATTTTTTAGATGACTGACCTTTTTATGCTGTGATTTGTTTTTTCATCCAAGCCATTGGTCTGAGGATGATAAGCAGCCGTTACACTGCGCTCAATTCCTAGAAGGTCACAGAGCTTTGTGTTGAGCTGAAAACAATGTATGCAATTATTGCATGAAATGATATATTCAATCATTCAAGTCATATTTTACCTCATTTACAAATTCACGCCCCTGATCTGACAGAATGCGTTTCGGACATCCAAATCTGTAAATTAATGAACAAAGCTTCTGGGCAACTTCTGCTGCAGACTTTGTTTTCAAGGGAAAAGCCTCAACCCACTTTGAAAAGTAATCAGTCGCAGTAAAGATGTATTTATACCCTTCTTGGGTAGTCGGCAGTGGTCCTGTCAGGTCTATGCCCAACATCTCCCAGACAGCAGAGACCTAAAATTCAAAATTAAAAATTCCATATACATAGATATATCAATGGAAAAGCACAGTAGTAAGATGCAAGTTTACTTTAATGCTTTGCAGAGGCACCATCGCAGCAAAAGGTTTCCCCACTCGCTGGCATTTGTCACACTCTGAAACCTTGTAAAAACAGTATAACTAAAAACACATACAATTTCAAAACAAGAATAACATACCCCTTTGTCGATCTGTACAGTCATTCCCTGCCAGTAGAAGCGAGAGCATAGGGCTTGGCGTGTTTTAGTCATGCCTGTGTGACCGCCCATAGGTGAAGCGTGAAAATCCTTGAATAATGTGTAAGCCTCATCTTCAGATTTGATCACTCTTCTATTGTCATAGAAAAGGTCTTCATCTACAGAGAAAAAGGTTAACATTTTCAGGTAACTTAAAATTGTTGAATAACTTGCACTATACATTCAATACACTTACTCTTGACAGTAAACTTCTTCGCATATCTTTTTAAATTAACTTTTTGGCCTTTATTAAAGCCATCCGGGAATTTTTTTTCAGTTAAGAAACTGAAAATTTCCATCCACCTCTTATTCATATTGGCTGAGTTGTTTTAAAGTGAATGAAGCTAAAATCTGAGTCGGAGAGGAAAGCGGGAGTCAAAAACCAGTGGATCAATCAGCGGAGCAACAATACACAGGGGGTGAGGCAAAAATCGGAGTCGGAGAGGAAAGCGGGAGTCAAAAACCAGTGGATCAATCAGCGGAGCAACAATACACAGGGGGTGAGGCAAAAATCGGAGTCGGAGAGGAAAGCGGGAGTCAAAATACACAGTCGGCAAAGCAAGCAATACAGATGTATTGGGGATGAGGCAAAAATCGGTGTCGTGAGGCAAAAACGGGTCAAAGGATCAAGGATTTCAAAAAAATGGCTGGAGAGCTTGACAAGGCAAGGCAATCTGGCACTGCAACAGAGAAAATGGACAAACTTATTAACCATTTACCAAAGTTAAACATTGTTATGACTTTTAATTTTAATTAATTAGTTTTTCCTCATTACGATTCTGGCCTTGTCAATTGTGATCATTTGAGAGCATGAGGGGTAGGTTAAACTATGAGAATTATATAGCTATATGGTATACGCAGGTGGACAAGCAAGACTGGACAAGGACTCTGTGCAATCATGTTATGACTTATATGCTTTGACTGGCCTAACTTTTGCTCCGCCTGAAAAAATACTGAGAAAACTGAGACAACTGAAAGTACTGAATCAACTGCCATTTTGTGAATAAACGACCACGCTTTGATGCACAAGATCCCATTATGTCCGAGCCTGATTCACAACAAAACTAACTTCTCCTTTTAGGAAAAAGCTTAACGACTGGGTATGTTAGTTATCGCCTGGTATTGCTATCTCAAAATATGTCAAATGCATAGGCAATCTTCCATGTGGATTGTGAGACGAACAAATTGTATTGTCATTTATTATGCCAAGTTTCACTAACCAGTTTGCTGGGTTGATTTATGACAATAGTTAGACATTTGCGCGACAAATGTCGCATCTAAATATATAGTGTTGAAAATATAAATCTTAATACAAAAAGCTGTGTTATTCCAATTCAAATTAACATTTTATCTAAATCTTCATGGAGAGGAAAATACTCACGTGGGTGTCCAACGAAGAACAGAAGCACGGGGATCACGGGGGCTTTTACCAGGGACACGCAAGATGACGTAAAACGTAAACAAGGAACCGCTATCAGTGTGGCTTGCCTATGGGCTTGACAGGAGCAGTTGACTGCTTAAACTAAACTTTGCACAAAACTTTGACTCTTAAAACCCACATGTGACAAAACGGGACCATCAACATCTCGCCTCAAATTGCATTAAAAGTGACATTCGTGCCTTAATTCGTTCGTATTTCAACTTTTAAAGCAATTCACGGTCCGCCATCTTGGTTTGCTTCGGTTGCCGTGAGACGCGCATGCGCAGGTTTGCATTACATCATAAACAGCTGGGGAAGTGCATCTCTTCAAGGAAGTGTATCTCGGCGTTACACCGGCTCCATCTATTCCCACTGACGTCTGCTGTTTTGTCCCTGGGCAAGAAACTAAACCCGCCCTTCTCCTCTGGAAGACCAAGGCCGAGTCCACGCTGGCCTCGCACCCTTCCCTTTGAGGACCAGGTGGTTTGAGGACCAGGTGGTTTGAGGACCAGGTGGCAGCTCTGATTACCAGCCCCCGAACCAGAAATGGATTGATGAATGGGATGAGACTAAATGAATGAAAATGTCCACTACTCTGTACCTGGGAGAGAGCGGCGCCAAAGCTCTGCCAACGAGCGGCCATTAGCAGTTGGCGAGAGACAGCCGCCAGCATTTCAATGTAAAAGTGACATTTCGCGGGGAACAGAAGACGCCATTGACACCGGGATAGGCCGTAATTAGCCTCCCCTTTAGCATTCATTGTACACGGCACTTCATCACTAAATGTCAATTATCACGCCAGCTCGGTTCTGGCCCGTTTGGTGCACCGGACTCGCAGTGAGAGGCTGAGAACTGTGCCTTTAAGAATAATCTGACTTTATCCCAGCCCCGACAGCTCTCTTTGACTGTATTAAGTGATATGGAACAATGTAACATTCACACGTTCAAAGGGATTACCTGCTCGGAGCGCTGTGCATGCAAAGGCTTCTGGGAAAGGGACAGGGCCTGAAATACCAACGAGCTTTTGAAATATGTGAAAATCAATATTGCGTGGAGATTGTTGAAGTGGACATATACTTGAGGCCTGCATCTCATTTATTATGACGAGGAAGTATTGAGTTAATATTTGGTAAATGGAAATGAATGTAAAGTGTGTTTGTGTTCACCGATAACAATCGATATGGAACGGATAGAAAATAAGCCCATTCACTGCCACAAGGACAGATGATGAAGCTGGGGAGAAGTTGGGCCACCAACCCACCACTCAGCCACCGTGGGCGGCACGGTGGCTGAGTGGATAGCACTCTCGCCTCTCAGCAAGAAGGTCCTGGGTTCAAATCCCGCTCGGACCAGGGCCTTTCTGAGTGGAGTTTGCATGTTCTCCCTGTGTCTGCGTAGGTTTCCTCCGGGTACTCCGGTTTCCCCTACCACTAAAAATATGTCCAATAGTTCTGGCATGTGCCTCCTGTACTGGCCCCGCTCCCATCTCTGTGTGGAGTGAAAGACAAATGCCCAAAATAAAAAAAAAACAATTGTAAACCGCTTTGAGACTCAGATCTGCAGTGAAAAGGCGGTATATAAATAAAGATTACTTACTTACTTACTTTTAGAAGTATGGAAAAGAATCAGTGTAAACCCTGGTCTTACCACACCATAGTACACATTTCATTTCATACTAAGGTCTGGATCTGCTCCATTGACTCCGTTAACAGGTGGGAGGGGCTAACTCCTTTTACAGATTGAAACCATTGGATCTGAGTTTACTGTGACGTATGTAATGCGCCCGAGTGAGTGAGGCATTTAGCCTAGCTTTAGCATTTAGCCTCAATTTAGCATGTAGACTAGCTTTAGCATGTAGCCTAGCTTTAGCATGTAGCCTAGCTTTAGCCATCTCCTTTGCCACTAACGAAGCCCGTGGGGAGTAGAGCCACAAGAATCTTTGCTTCAATGACATTTACTAAACATTCCTCTTGTTCCGGCTTAAGTTTCTTGATATTTGCATTGAACCAGAACAGATTATTTTACTATCGCATTCTCCGAGAAACTACAACCAGCACATTCAGCACAAACTGACAGGAGGCGATGTATAAACACAGACTTATTGAAAGTTCAAGCTGTATTTACGCTTTCACAGGCGCTGAATCTCTGCAAACAGTAAAACTGTTCACTGCAGATGACAGGGATTTGAACTACCCACCACCGTACTCCTCTCAGACCAATCATGGACTTGGCTCATCACTGTGACCGCGCCTGGATCCTGGTCCTGGTCCTGGTCCTGGCTCCGGCTCTTCCCGCTGTGAGACCTGGATTAGAGCTTTTCAGTGAAGTGGTGTTTGAAGAGGATCGCTTCATGTGGAGCCAGAACATTCTGCTGCATCGGCCTCAGACACAGACAGCTTCGGCTTCAGGGGATTCAGTCAGACACAGGTACTGCTGAGACTCTGAGGAGCACAGGGACTGGCCTCCTGCTGGGACTCTGAGGAGCACAGGGACTGGCCTCCTGCTGGGACTCTGAGGAGCACAGGGACTGGTCTCCTGCTGGGACTCTGAGGAGCACAGGGACTGGACTCCTGCTGGGACTCTGAGGAGCACAGGGACTGGCCTCCTGCTGGGACTCTGAGGAGCACAGGGACTGGCCTCCTGCTGGGACTCTGAGGTGCACAGGGACTGGCCTCCGGCTGGTCCCAGAGTCAGGACTAAACATGAGGAGGATGCGTTTCAGTTTCATGCCGCTAAAATCTGGAACAATCTTCCTGAAAATGTGAGACAGACTTTGAAGCTGGAGTAACTAACTATTGGTCATAGACATAATACACAAAAAGATGGTGACACAGTAGAGTACATTGGAGCAGAACTTCGTTAAAGAGCACTTCCCTACTGGGCGCCATCAGGCTCAGGGGTTAGCATTGTTCATCTGTGTCCAGCAGGGGTCTCCACCCTGAGGCTGGGGAGCTACCTGTAGCTCGCCACCTCCTTTCAGGTAGCTCCCCAAAGGATTTGAGAATTTGACACATGATTCTGAAGGATTCACATTTTAGTTAATACATCTCTTTGAACTTTAGGTTTTAATGAATTAAGTTTACTGTACGGTGTAATGGTTTGTCATGACAGTCATCACCAACATCGGCAAGAAACTCTAAACCCAGTGGGAAAAGGTGAAATCTAAATATTATTGATCATTAATTAATTTAGAGACTGTTCTGTGGCGTTTCAAACTGGCTGACTGCTGTACTTTAAACAGTTTACGAAGCATAACTGTGCAGTACATAGATAGTGCTGTTGGGGAAATCTAATTTGTGTTTTTAATCATTATTCAATCCAGGATCAATCAATAATGAGATAAGCTCTTTGACATTCACTTTGGCCATCGGAGGCAGTGGGCAACACACACTTTCTTTTCATGTTTAAGTCTAAGTGCAACGTTAGATTCAGAACAAACCAGGTGTTTCTCTTTTTAATATTTTTGTTAATATCAGACTTGTCTCACGGGGAGAGAGGAGCCTTGAGCGGCCGGAGGCACTGAGGGCCAAGGCTGAGAGGCGCAGTAGAAGAGGGACCTTTTTGTTTGGGCTTTTTGTTTGCTGCTGGGGATTCTGTGGAAGGCCGCGGGCAGAGACGCACGTATTTTACTGAAATTAATAAACCACACTTTGATTGTATCACAGCTCTGGTTGTTTGTTCTTATTCTCATTATTTGTGCTCACTTTGTGCAGAAAGTCCACAACAGTACTAGCCTGGTCTTACCACACCATAGTACAAATTACTTTTCATACTAAGGTCTGGATCTGCTCCATTGACTCCGTGAACAGGTGGGAGGGGCTAACTCCTTTTGCAGATTGAAACCATTGGATCTGAGTTTACTGTGACGTATGTAATGAGCCCGAGTGAGCCGTTAGCATGTAGCCTAGCTTTAGCCACCTCCTTTGCCGCTAACGGAGCCCGTGGGGAGTAGCGCCACGATCTTTGCAGCGATTACATTTGCTAAACATTCCTCTTGCTCCGGCTTCAGTTTCTTGATAGAACCAGACCGGATTACTTTACTATCGCATTCTTCGCCAAACTACAACCTGCTGGTGGTCTATGGTTGGTGACGTCACATGTATACATGTACGTACATATGTATGTATATATATGTATGTATATATATGTATGTATACATGTATGTATATATATGTATGTATATATATGTATGTATATATGTAACTGCAGACACAACATTATTTGCAAAACTTTGTTCAGATTTTTGTCTTTATTTTTTGTGTGAATGTTTTAGTGGTAGGGGAAACCGGAGCACCCGGAGGAAACCTACGCAGACACGGGGAGAACATCCAAACTCCACTCAGAAAGGCCCTGTTTCGATTCGAACCCAGGACCTTCTTGCTGAGAAGCGAGGGTGCTAACCACTCAGCCACCGTGCCGCCCTAAGGTCCACAAACACAGCCGCAGCAGGACACAGCCGCGTTCTGAAAGCTGTGTTCTAAAAGCTGTGTTCTGAAAGGTCTAGATCCCAAACACCACACGACAACGAAGTTCGCTGAAACAAGACCGAAGGGTTTGTGACGAGTTCTGTTACACTGTCAGGTCAGGGTTCCACTGGCGTCTCCATGACGACACCTCTGCTTTAACCATTGAACTTTGTGTGGAGCATTCCATCAGAAATGATCAGTGTGCAATCACGTATTGTGCACTACGTGATTGCACACAAGTCCTGTCCCCCTGAAGTCTTCACTCCAGGAGAACAGGCTGATCTTTTCAGCTGAAATGTGCAAAAACCCTTTGGTCCAAAGAGACATGTTCACAGGAAACGACCGTGGAGCCTGACGCAGCCGTGCGGCAGATCTCATCTGCAAATCTTTTTCAGGTGGAGTTTTGGCAAAACACTTCCTTTGGCGCGAGGTGAGTCCGGTCAGAGCTTTCAGATCTCACTGCTTCAGGAAGTCACTGCTGCTGCTGGTTCACAGCCTTTTAACCCTTCAAGAGTCAACACAGTCTACAGCCCTTTCTGAATCCGTTTGGACACCGTTGTTTGTGATGTAATGCAAACCTGCGCATACGCCTCACGGCAGCTGTGGAAAACCAAGATGGCGGACATAAAGTCTGTGAATTGTTTAAAAAGTTGAATATGATTGAAGTAAGACTAATGTCAGATTGCATGTTAATGGTTCTATGTTGTCATATATGAATTTTAAGAGTAATAGTTTTGCGTAAAGTTTGGTTTGAGTAACTGCTACTGTCAAACCACACTACTGTCAAACCACACAACTGTACGATAGCGTCCAGTGAACTGCGGCATACTGCATTTTGCTGACTTAGGCCAATGTCTTGTCGCTAACTCGACAGCTGTTAGCTTACAAGTGGTCAATATATTCATTAGATTTTATTTATTATTTCCATTATCAACCCGACAGAGCAGTTGTAAGCTATCAGCTGTCGAGTTAGCCACAGTTAGCCACGTCATCGGTCCACGTCAGTAAAATGATGCATGCAGCAGTTCAACTCGACAAGAAAGGAACGCCATCATACAGTAGTTATGTAATAATAATAATACTATTATTATTATCAGTACATAATATCTACTACTATAATCATAATTATTATGATCATTGTGGTAGTGATTTGCCAGGAGCCAATATGATGTTCATATCAGAACATGGAAGCATCAACATCTCGTCTCAAATTGCATTAAAAGAGATGATTGTGTCTTAATTTGTTGGTATTTAAACTTTTCAAACATTTCTCTTCACACAAACACAAACACAGCCGCAGCAGAACACAGCCGCGTTCTGAAAGCTGTGTTCTAAAAGCTGTGTTCTGAAAGGTCTAGATCCCAAACACCACACGACAACGAAGTGTGTCGCTGAAACAAGACCGAAGGGTTTGTGACGAGTTCTGTTACACTGTCAGGTCAGGGTTCCACTGGCGTCTCCATGACGACACCTCTGCTTTAACCATTGAACTTTGTGTGGAGCATTCCATCAGAAATGATCAGTGTGCAATCACGTATTGTGCACTACGTGATTGCACACAAGTCCTGTCCCCCTGAAGTCTTCGCTCCAGGAGAACAGGCTGATCTTTTCAGCTGAAATGTGCAAAAACCCTTTGGTCCAAAGAGACATGTTCACAGGAAACAACCGTGGAGCCTGACGCAGCCGTGCGGCAGATCTCATCTGCAAATCGTTTTCAGGTGGAGTTTTGGCAAAACACTTCCTTTGGCGCGAGGTGAGTCCGGTCAGAGCTTTCAGATCTCACTGCTTCAGGAAGTCACTGCTGCTGCTGGTTTACAGCTTACTCGAGGAGCCATGGGTGGGTCTTTAAGTCCCCCAGACTAATGCGGTCTTTGAGATCTTTTTCCAAGCAGCGCCTCAAGATGTTTCTGCATTCTGCAAACACAAACGCAAGTGGTTAGAAACTGCATCTTAGACCAGAGACATTTATTCACAGTCATGAGAATCAAAAGGGTGGGTAAACTTTAGCTTTAGCAGTAAACTCTACTCAGGAGTTGGCATGAAGCTCATTAGAATGTCTTACCCGGTGAAGCGTTGCGGCGGATTGGAACTTTCCTGCTGGAGGAAATGGTTTCTTTAGTGATGAGAGGCCGACGGTTGAACATCATACTGTACAACACTACCCCCAGCTGCCAGACTGTGGCGGCACTGGGGGAGTACGGCTGTCTGCGGAAGCTCTCTGGGGAACTGCTCTCCACTGACCCTAAATCAAACATCACACTGTTAGCAAAACTCTTCTTCGTTAAATACAGTATCAAACCTAGATCATATTTTACCTAGCGGTCCTTTAAACATTTGCCCAGGTTCAAAGACTTTTGCCTTCCCAAAGTTTCTGAGCTGAACCTTGATCTCCTTGGTGTCCAGGACCACCACGTTAGCTGAGGTGATGTCTCTGTGGAATATTCCCTTGGCCTCCATTTCCAGTGCTGTATCCAACAACTGACGGAAAATGTGCTGGAGAATCAAAACAAGGGCAGCATAGGAACAATGAAAGCATTAGTAATTGTATTGTCCTTGAATCATCATCCAAATCTTTCTCTAGAAATATAGTCTTGTGTTACTGACTGTGTTCACAGGTTTGGAAAAGTACAGTTCATTCTAAACCCTTTGCTCTTTGACCGTCTGTGGATGTGAACTCCTGGATGTTCAGTGGTTGGTTTTACCTTGCATTTCCTCTCGTGTTCAAAGGCTATGCACAGGGTTTCCCTGATGTACGTCAGCAGACGGATGCTGTCTTTGGGCCTCTCGATGATGATGTACGTTTTGAGTCCGATATCATACCAGTCAAGGACCCTCGGTGTCCATGTGGTGGTCCCTTGGTTGAGCTTCATCCTAACTGCAACCTCAAGAGGCACCAGACTTCCAACTTGGTCCTCTTCTTGTCTCTGCGGGAGTTAGTAGAAAAACAGGTAAATACAGAATCACTAGTGTACATTTGCCTGTGTGGTAGATAAACATGTATAACACGTATAAGGCAGTATGTGGGGACAAGTGTATGCTCGCTAATATATTTATTTGATTTTTGTTCTGTTTGAGACTGTACCTTTGTCTCTTTGTTTGTGTTCATGTTGAATGTTGTTGTGTTTGACTGTTTTGTTGTCTTTAATATAAATGAAATGAACAAAATGTCTTACTACGATCGTGAAGGGGATAAACCTGGTACGCATCTGTTTGATGAACACCTGTTGGATACAAACAAAAAGCAAAGTGGTCAAAAACACATGGAACACACACATGTCTAAAGTAGCTTCAGATACTCACTGGTAACCTGTCCTCCCTTCGGTAGCCGCTGAAGAGTGTCCCAGATTTTATTTGTGAGCTTTGAGAGTTGATGTGGTATTTCAGCCTCATCACTGAGAGAAAGATGAAAGAAAATAGAGTTGTTTTAGTTCAGGACAGTAGATATTATTGTTGTAACTCCTAGACTTACTCTCATCAACCTCAGGTTTCCACTGGCGCGGTATGAATCCTCTAATAAAGAAGCTTCCTGGAATAAAAGAACAATGATATGGTTATTTTCACGGCCAAACAAAAGAGGTTCTACTAAGTATGTACTCATGTTGTATCGTTACAGTTAAAGGACAAAATCAGAATCAGAATCTTGAAAAGTAGAGACTTTCAGGCGTCTGATTCTGTGTCGTCTCTTTCAGTTGTGGCTGTAACAAAATGTGCAAAGATATATTCATACTTTGTTGTACAAACCTTTAAGTTCCGGATATCCGCTCTCGGCCTCGTACCACGTCACTGGAGGCGGAAGAGTGTCCGTCTGCTCCTGCTTGTACTTCTCTGGAAGAAAACAACTGGAAGAATCTGCAACAATAGAATCAAAGTGAAGTCAGAGAAGAATTATTGACAGAAACAGACTGTGATACATTGGATTCATTCATTCTTTGCCAATCGTCACTTTCTTTGAGTCTATTCTGATCAAGGAAGAATTACAAATGTCCTGAGTCAGTAGTGGGAAAACCAATCCTCAAAAGCCAGTGTGGCTGTAGTTTTTGTAGGTCAGGTTAAGACTGGACTCACTTTTGAGCCGGTCCTCAGTAAAAGCAGGTCTCGCACGACACTTAAAACCACAGTGAAATAAATCCATCTCACTTGTTCTTCACTCTCAACACAATCTTCTATCACTAGTTTTCACATGTATTTTTCCATCTGCTTTTTCAGACAGAAGGGGGCGCTCTCACAGCCTCACAGCTTTCAGTCCAAAGACTCATTCTTACAAGTGTGTGAACGACAACATGTGTTCGGGTTAGACTGTTGTGCACTCACTTGTAAAATCCAAATCCTCTTGTGACATTGTTCTGCGAAAATTCGTTAAGAGCTTCTGGTTCTGCTTCTCATTCTGACTCTGACTGGTTCCTGTTGGAGAAAGGGACAGTGGCTTTAGTTCTGCGTGTGTGTGTGTGTCTGTCTGTGTGTGTGCTTGTGTGTTTGTGTGTCTGTCTGTGTGTGTGTGTGTGTGTGTGTGTGTGTCTGTCTGTGGGTGTGCATGTGTGTGTGTCTGTGTCTGTGTGTGTGTGTTTGTGGGTGTGCATGTGTGTGTCTGTCCCTGTCTGTGTGTGTGTGTCTGTCTGTGGGTGTGTGTGTCTGTCTGTGTGTGTGCTTGTGTGTTTGTGTGTCTGTCTGTGTGTGTATGTGTGTCTGTCTGTGTGTGTGCATGTGTGTGTGTCTGTCTCTGTGTCTGTGTGTGTGTCTGTGCATGTGTGTGTCTGTGTGTGTGTGTGTGTCTGTGGGTGTGCATGTGTGTGTCTGTGGAGACTGACCAGGGTCTTGGCTGTCGTCTGAAGAAGTCTTTGGTAGTCTGTTGTGCCTGAAAAACTTTTTCAAGGAGGAGGGAACTTTTCCTTTCCAGGCAGGAGCTGACGGAGCTGTCGGAGCTGACGGAGCTGACGGAGCTGACGGAGCTGTCGGAGCTGACGGAGCTGTCGGAGCTGACGGAGCTGTCGGAGCTGACGGAGCTGTCGGAGCTGACGGAGCTGACGGAGCTGTCGGAGCTGACGGAGCTGACGGAGCTGACGGAGCTGTCGGAGCTGTCGGAGCTGACGGAGCTGTCGGAGCTGTCGGAGCTGACGGAGCTGTCGGAGCTGACGGAGCTGTCGGAGCTGACGGAGCTGTCGGAGCTGTCGGAGCTGTCGGAGCTGACGGAGCTGACGGAGCTGACGGAGCTGACGGAGCTGTCGGAGCTGTCGGAGCTGTCGGAGCTGACGGAGCTGACGGAGCTGTCGGAGCTGACGGAGCTGACGGAGCTGACGGAGCTGACGGAGCTGACGGAGCTGCAGCTGGGGTTGGAGCAGTTGTTATGATGAAAGAAAGAATAGTATGAATGATAATGAGGACTCACTGACCTGATGTGGAGGCTGTCTCCTCGTCCACACACTTCCTGTTCGGCGACATCATCGTTCTGAACACTTTGTGAAGCGCTGGGAACATGCAGGAGGGCATTAGTGTGTGTGTGTGTGTGTGTGTGTGTGTGTGTGTGTCTGTGCATGTGTGTGTCTGTGTGTGTGTGTGTCTGTGGGTGTGCATGTGTGTGTGTGTGTGTGTCTGTGCACTTGATGGTTAAGGATAGGGTTAAGGTGGTCTGAGTAAGATGGTTAAGGTTAGGGTTAAGGTGGTCTGAGTAAGATGGTTAAGGTGGTCTGAGTAAGATGGTTAAGGGTTAGGGTTAAGGTGGTCTGAGTAAGGTGGTCTGAGTAAGATGGTCAAGGTTAGGGTTAAGGTGGTCTGAGTAAGATGGTTAAGGTTAGGGTTAAGGTGGTCTGAGTAAGATGGTTAAGGTTAGGGTTAAGGTGGTCTGAGTAAGATGGTTAAGGTTAGGGTTAAGGTGGTCTGAGTAAGATGGTCAAGGTTAGGGTTAAGGTGGTTTGAGTAAGATGGTTAAGGTTAGGGTTAAGGTGGTCTGAGTATGATGGTTAAGGTTAGGGTTAAGGTGGTCTGAGTAAGATGGTCAAGGTTAGGGTTAAGGTGGTTTGAGTAAGATGGTTAAGGTTAGGGTTAAGGTGGTCTGAGTAAGATGGTCAAGGTTAGGGTTAAGGTGGTCTGAGTAAGATGGTTAAGGTTAGGGTTAAAGGTGGGTTGGGGTTATTCTACGGGTATGGCTGGTTAAGTTTAGGTTCTATTAGTTTAGTTAGTTTGTTATATCTACTTCTGCTTCCGTCCTGATTCTGTAAAAGATCTAGGGCCGACCGTGGCTTTGCTGCTTCCAGTCTCTTGAACTTGTGGTGACTCTTGAGTTTGGCCAGAGTTTGACCAGTGTCAAGAGAGATGCAGGTGACGGAGACTGACGCAGGTGACGGAGACCGTGACTGTCGGACCGTGGCGCTGTGTGCTTTGCCCCTGGAGCCCGTCACTTCGCTGCACTTCAGACGTTCCACTCCCTCAGACAGCGGGGATCACACTTAAACTTAATTATTCATCGAGAGTGGACCGTTCCTAAATATATGAGCAGCCATTGAGTGAATAATTGATGCGCAGCGATAATACCTCATTCTATTGTGACAGGGAGCGTTATTTATTTAAAATAGATGAAAAGCAATCGTAAAATCATTAAACCTGAACGATATTAACATTTATGGACATTGGTCTCTGCGCCTCAGGGACTAGTGGCTCTGTGTGGATCTTATCATTGCATTTCCTGTACTTTGCACCTTCGTGTTGTGATTTAGGGCGATGCAAAAAAAGATTGAATTGCCAGAGGTCTCCCATCACAGTCCTAACCAGACCCAGCTCTGCTTAGCTTCAAAGATCTCACACAAACCTGCTTTCACAAATCTTTCCACAGAAAACACTTAAGGTTCCATATTTCACTTTCCTTCATATTTCACAGTCCTAAGCACATTTATAATAATTCTGGTAAAACATCATACAACACTCAAAACCTACTTTCTACAACGTTTATGGACATTGGTCTCTCCCTATGGTCCAATACCATGTGGTCTCTCCCTATGGTCCAATACCATGTGGTCTCTCCCTATGGTCCAATACCATGTGGTCTCTCCCCATGGTCCAATACCATGTGGTCTCTCCCTGTGGTCCAATACCATGCGGTCTCTCCCTATGGTCCAATACTATGCGGTCTCTACCTATGGTCCTATACCATGTAGTCTCTCCCCATGGTCCAATACCATGTGGTCTCTCCCTATGGTCCGATACCATGTGGTCCCTCCCTATGGGCCAATACCATGTGGTCTATATTTCCTGTGTCTTAACTGTTGATTCTCTGATCTGTGTGATTTCAATGGTTTTGTTAAGTCTCTGAAATGACTACTGCTGTGCTTTAGGGCTATATTCTTGTGTTTCATGAACCTGGCCTGTAGGGGGCGCATGAGCAGAGATGGGACAGTGTTGCTCCCATTGAAAACCATGTAAAGTCTGTTTTGGAGTCAGAGGCTCTCCTCCTGTGCGGTGTACGGTTGTTGGAACAGTCTTAATCAGGGACACTCAATTCTAAGGAAGTACTAAAAAATATTTGTCAAAAGAGTCTTGATTTCGGGCATTTTTGGAAAGAAAAACAGAAGAAATTGGTGCGTTTCATGGGGATGGCCTGCAGGGGGCGCTTATCTGGGAAAGCCTTGATCCACCTCCGCCTCATTCCAGTGATTTTTCCAAAGTGTCCTCCTTTATATGAGACACAGTTGGAACATGAACAAACTCTGGTCTTTCTCTATTTGTGCGGTTGCTACAAGCGTACACCGCACAAAAAGATGGTTCTTCTTCTACTATATCTCCGTGTATAAACCACTTCTTCTTCTACTATATCTCCGTGTATAAACCACTTCTTCTTCTATGTTATCTCCGTGTATAAACCACTTCTTCTCCTACTATATCTCTGTGTATAAACCACTTCTTCTTCTACTATATCTCCGTGTATAAACCACTTCTTCTTCTACTATATCTCCGTGTATAAACCACTTCTTCTTCTACTATATCTCTGTGTATAAACCACTTCTTCTACTATATCTCTGTGTATAAACCACTTCTTCTTCTACTATATCTCTGTGTATAAACCACTTCTTCTTCTACTATATCTCTGTGTATAAACCCGACTGCACCGACAGGATACGTCACGTCCTGTCCTACGTTTGTTATTCGCGCCACAGCCCGACGTCATATGAAACCCAAGAATACAAAAATAAAGTAAAAAGTCAATAATAATAATAATACACAGCTCAGTGCTGCAGGTTGAGCCCTGTGAAGCAGTTTTTATTTGGACAAAACCCGACATTTGTGAGTGTAAATCCAGAGTTTTTGCTCAGTGGGATTCAGTCACAGAAAGAACATGTCGTTTTCAGTTCAACAAAACACGCCATGAATTCAACACCACAATTATCCTTTTGTACCTTTTTTGAATGGCTCCAGTCCCGGTCCGAGCGTGGCCCTGGCCTGAGGAACCACATTATGCAGCCGTGATAACAGTTTTCACACTCATCAGTAAATGAAAAGCCCTCGGTGCGAGTGGAACGACCTCGGGACCGGAGCTGACACGTCCAAACAGCCGTAATAAGTGTGCGGTGGACGCACAAACCCATTGTGTGTGCGGTGTCATTGAACGCACAAACCCATTGTGTGTGCGGTGTCATTGAACGCACAAACCCATTGTGTGTGCGGTGTCATTGAACGCACAAACCCATTGTGTGTGTCGCTGCCACTTCTCATTTCATCAGCGCCTCGATTGTGACGCAGGTAATTCCCTCCAGAGCGCGCCACAGAAACTCCACGTTTCTGAGTAAATGTGGAGTTTCCTCTGAGGACTCGGCTCCATCACAGACCTTCGCTCAAAACAATGACGGCTGTTTTAGAACCAGTGGGTTTTAGGACAAAGACGTGAAATGAGACGCTTGTTTTGTTACTATTAGATCTCGTTGGTGACACGACCACACAACATTTAAAAATAATATTAGTTTCATGTCCAGCACCTTTTTGCTAGTTTCATATGTCATTTTTCTTTCACTCCAAACACGGTGATAAACTACTGTAGCCACAGCTTCCCTGGGGCACACTGACAGAAGCCCCTCCCACCACCACCAACCACTCACACACACACCAGACTCATTCTAATGTGGGGGAAGTGTCTTGCCGAAGGACACAACCACAGTTTGGCACTTTACAGCCGCAGCCGCCCCACTGTGGCACCTGCTGTTCCCAGAGGTCTCCCATCACAGCACTAACCAGGCCCTGCCCTGCTTGGCTTCAGAGGTCTGACAGGACACATCATGAAGTAGATTTGGGGCGGCAGTAGCTCAGTTGGTAGAGCGTTGGCCTTTGAGCCAGAAGGTCGTGGGTTCAAGCCCCACTCAAGACTTTCATCATCGACTCCCACTGACTACTGTCGTTGTGTCCTTGGCAAGACACTTAACCTCTGGGAACACCAGCCACAGTGGGGCGGCTGCGGCTGTAAAGTGCCAAACTGCCGTTGTGTCCTTAGGCAAGACACTTCACCCCCATTGCCTAGAATGAGTCTGGTGTGTGTATGAATGGTTGGTGGTGGTCGGAGGGGCCGATGGCACATACTGGTTGCCTCGCTTCTGTCAGTGTGCCCCAGGGCAGCTGTGGCTACATTAGTAGTTTATCACCACCGTGTATGGAGTGAATGAATAATGACACATGTGAAGCGTCTTTGAGTGTCCAAAAAAGCGCTATATAAAAACCGATGCATTATTATTATTTGTGATAGTGGCACACCTGGCTTTACTTACACTGCAAAATAATGACAAAATATAAAGTCAAACATTTCTGGAATCATGATTTTTAATCTAGATATTTAGTTTTAGCAGCAGTTTTTCAAGTTTTGTTGCAATTTATTTCTCATTCCAAGGAAGACATTTGTTGAGTTTTCTTTCTTCTTGTTTTAACACACTCAAAATGTGCTTAAGTTAAGATAAAAAACACTTGATTCAAGCATTTATTATCTTCTTTGGGTTTTTCTCACAGAAAGAAGCCATTTTTGTGAGGAAACAAAAACCTTCTCTTAACAGAGGAGGAGGGTTAAGATTTGTTTTGCCTCGCATCTATGACGACATCCTAAAAACAACGGCCTAACTTGGGACAAGGTCAGTGACATGCTAATGAGTTAGGAGGGTGAGACCTGCACTCCACTTGAGCATCCCAGCAGACAATAGGTCTGTGACATGCTAATGAGTTAGGGTCGTTAGCCTCAGCAGGGTCGTTAGACCTGCTCCCTTCTACATCAGACCTTAGATTGTTTATGAGTTAGTATCAGGATTACATAGGTTATAAATCTCCAACGCACGGTCTGAGAATTCATTCCCTGAAGAAGTCCTTTGGATTGAGGACGAAACGTCGG